GCCCATGCTCCACCACCCCTACTGCTCTGACGACAGTTCCGGTGGCCACTGTACTCCAGTGACTATTCCGAAGAACTTTCTGGTGACTTTTTCGGTAGCCGTTCTGCCGCCACTTAATTCCGATGACTACTGATTTCGACAATTGTTAAGGTCGCAGTCATATACAATTTGGTCACAAATATCTTATTAATTAATTAAAAATTAATTTTCGATCACGACTTATAAAATTATATTATCACATATTATTCGAGGTCACAAATCAAAACATTTATAAGTCACAATTGACTTTTTTGGTCACTGATAAACAAAACTATAGGTCACGGATTTTTAATTGGTCACAGGTTAAAAAAATTATAGATAACAAAAGTCACATATTTTCAAATTAGTTGGTCATATATTATATTTTTAGTCACAGATTATCGAATTTTAAGGTCACTGTTTAATAGTTAGTCACAGAGAACCGTATTGTGGTGAAGAGATGCTTATGAAATTGCAAGATTCCATTGATGAAATTGAAAAAAGGAAGAAGTCAGAAACTGTGAACTTGATGAGGAACAATGAGCTAGCACTCAAACTCGTGGAATTCGAAACAGAATTGCAATCTATACTTCTAGAAAAGTGTGAAAAAAGGTCAATGCTTATGATCGCATAAATGCAGAATTGGAATGTGTAACTCTGAGCCTTGAATGTTGCAAGGAAGAAAAAGAAAAGCTTGAAGCTTCTTTCAGAGAATGTGAGAGGGAAAAACCTCGATTTGCTGTTGAACTTGACTCGATAAAAAAACTGGAGAAATTCAGATCTTCCAACACTGTTCAAAAGGAGGAAAATAATGAGGCCAATTAAAGTTATTGAAACTGAGATATAAATTTAGATAACAAATGATTGATTTCAACTATATAATTACACGTGAGAGTGAGCTCATATTTATACAAGTGAAAGGAAAGTTCTAGGCTTGAAATCTTAGCTGTACAGATGGATTTACATCATCAATGGTGCACCATAAATTAAGGAGAGGCAGTACTACATGTGGTCCTGCATTAGTGAGGGAGAGAGTGATCTAACAGAATTCAGGTGCAACTAATTGGTGAGGTGGAAGCCTGGTGATGAGTGAGCTGATGATTCAGCTATAAGTTCCAACACCCTCCTTCAAACTGTAGGGGACCATTGACATTCCAAGTTTGTCTTTCATATATGCAAATCTTGAGTGAGAAATACCTTTTGTTATCAAATCAGCAATCTGATATGCAGTAGGAACATACTTTACTTCCAATTCCTTGGCAATGATTTTGTCTCTTATGAAGTGTATGTCTAGCTCTATCTGCTTGGTTCAAGAGTGAAAAACGGGATTTGCTGCCAATGCTCCAGCGCTCAGGTTGTCACACCAGATGATAGGAGTTNTCTCTTATGAAGTGTATGTCTAGCTCTATATGCTTGGTTCTAGCGTGAAAGAAGGGATTTGCTGCCAATGCTCCAGCACTTAGGTTGTCACACCAGATGGTTTAAGTTGAGCTTTGTAACATTTTAATTTCTTTGAATAGAGATTGTATCCAGGTTATTTTTGATGTAGCAGCAGCCAATGCTCTATATTCTGCCTCTGTGCTTGATCTGGCTACGACCTATTGCTTTTTGGATGACCAAGACACTAGGCTATCACCTAAGTAGATGCAGTATGCAGCCACGGATCTTCTATCGTCTGAACAGGATGCCCAGTCAGCGTCTGAGTAGCTACTAATCATCAAATTTTCACTTCTTTTGATCTATAATCCTTGGTTGATTGTGCCTTTCAAGTATCTTAGGACTTTTTTCACTCCTTGCCGGTGTACTGTGGTTGGTTCTTGCAAGAATTAGCTAAGTTTGCTCACAACCAAGATTATGTGTGGCCTGGTATGTGATAAATATTGCAGTCCTCCAACAGCACTTCTGTAGATTGAGGGATTCTTCAGAGGTTCACCATCAAATTTGGACATAGTTCTCCCAACTGTACTGGGAGTAGGACACGGTTTGAGGTTTTGAAGTTCAAACTTCTTCAGTAACTCTGAAATATATCGCGATTGAGTTAGGTAAAGTCCTGTGATGTGTCTGTGAACTTCTATCCCTAAGAAGTGATGAAGTTCTCCCATGTCTTTGAGTGCAAATTTCCTGTGAAGTTTAGTTATGAAATTTTGAAATAACTTCTTGTTGTTGCAGTGACTATTATATCGTCCACATAGATAAGAATGAAGATGATATTCTGTTTAGTTGAGAGATAAAAGAGAGAGGTATCTGCCTTTGATTGGTTGAAATTCCAATTAATTAGAGTATTTTTCAACTTGTCTACCAGGCTCTCGGCGCTTGCTTAAGCCCATAAAGAGCTTTTTCAAGTTTGCAGATGTAGTTTGGCTTGGTTTTGTCAACAAAACACTCTGGCTAATGCATTTAAAC